TTGCTAGGGACTTGCCCGGCACTTGCTCTCTACCTCTATTTGTTATCTTACTTCTATCATTGACAGTCCCTCTAGGTTGTGGGCTGCTTGCCTGTGTTCCTGAGAAGCATCTACGGTACCAGTCTATAGAGTGTGTTTTCTTTAGTGAATTACCGGTATGTTTACCGGTAATAAACTTGCACTGTTTTATGTATATGTTTGATTACATACAGCCTTGTGACAGTTTTCCTGCATGTCATAAGCATTTGAATATAAATTAAAATGTTAAAATCAAATCTGATATTGTTTTACCTTTTATTTGGTGTGTGGAAGGTGTGCGGAAGAGGGGGTAGTCTTATACGGCGAGTATATAACAAACTCTGTATTTTGAGTGGAAATGTTAGGGGGTCGTCTTATACGCCCAGTCGTCTTATACGCCGGCAAATACGGGAATTATATGAATGATTTTTATTATGGTGATGTTCTATCCTAGGAATCTGCTATACTCATTTGTTCTAGTACCACATTTATAGATTCTGTAAAATGTTCTACATGGATAGTCATGTCTTCTAGGGATCTAATTTCACTTATGCTGTTATAATCTGGATTCCTTTAATTAATTTGTTTTTCTTTATTACAGTGGGTAGGACCTCTGATGCAATATAGACTAGAAGTGTGAGAGTGGACATTCTTGCCTTGTTGTCATCTTAGGGAAGTAACATTTGATCTTTTACTGTTAAGAATGATGGTTGCTATAGATTGTTATAAATCAGTGATGGTGAACCTTTTGAGCTCGGTGTGTCAGCCTTTTGAAAAACCCTAACTTAACTCTCGCGCCGTGTCACATATAGAAATTTTTTGATATTTGCAACCATAGTAAAACAAAGACTTATATTTTTGATATTTATTTTATATATTTAAATGCCATTTAACAAAGAAACATCAACCAAAAAAATAAGTTCGTGTGTCACCTCTGACACGCGTGTCATAGGTTCACCATCACTGTTATAGATGCTCTTTTTTATGTTGAGGAAGTCACCTTTTTTTTTTTTCCACTTCTTCATTTATTTTGTGCTTTTTTTAAAGATCCATTTTGATAGCTATATGTCCATTGCCATTTTGTTCATATTTTTTATCTTTATTTTTCTTCTTATTTTTCTTAAAGAAGACCCTTTAACATTTCATGTAATATTGGTTGTGATGGACTCCTTTAGCCTTTCCTTGTCTGGGAAGCTCTTTATATGTCCTTTGGTTCTAAATGATAGCTTTGCTGACTAGAGTAATCCTGGTTGTAGGTCCTTGCTTTTCATCACTTTCTTGCCAGTTCCTTCTGCCCTGCAAAGTTTCTTTTGAGAAATCAGCTGATAGTGTTATGGGAGTTCCCTTGTAGGTAGGTAACTGCTTTTCTCTTG